AAATTATTCCTACTTGATGTTTATTAACGTTTTATATATATATGTCTATATGCAAATGTCTGTATAAGCACTTCAATAAAGATACATACACTAAAATATGAAAAGTACTTCATGTTTAAGAGATTTGACATTAAGGAGTATGTAAAACAAAAGTGAAGGAAAGATGTTTGGCACATCTTATTTATATATATAAATACTAAATTAAGTTAACAATTCACTCTTCTGGGCCAATCCCTTAAAAATAAGGGAAAGTTACGATATGGAATTTGTCATCAGTTAATTTGCATGCATATTCTTTTATTAGATCTAAAAGTAAATAACTTCTTATTAATAATTGTCTTATCCAGTCAGTGTTTCATTTGGTTTGTTTCATTTCCATTGGTTACCAGTAGTAGCTAGCACAAATGAGTCTGTAGAGAAAATTCTTTTACGTATCTTGAGTTATCCTGCACCTAGTATTTTAGGAACTGTTTTTAAATGAGCATTTATATTTTAATGTACTATGCATGTCGTGTTGCACGTTTTAGCCTAGCAAAGGCCTTTGCCATACTAATTTAAAGTGGATTTTACAATTTGTATATCAAGCAGTTGTAGATTGTTAGTTTAGCTATTGGCTGTATGAGGTATATGGAAATAATAAAATATGAGAAGCTATGTCCTTCCTGCTTAACCTGCTGTTGATATAGATATATCAGTGACAGTTACTTGTTTTATTAAATGTCTTTTCTGTTGGTTTGTTTGGGTTTTGTTTTTTTATGCATGAGAGTAAAAGAAGGTTTTGGTATTTGAGAGTAGCAAATCTTAGTATATAGTACCATTTTAGTACTCAAAGGTGGTTAAAAAAAAAATAAACACACCCCCACAAGCAAGCAAACTGTTCGAGCTTTGCTGTCCCCTTAGCTATCTGATGTTCTTTGTAAGAAGAAAATCTGTTTACATCACAGAAACAAGGAAGAAAGAAGTGTGACCAGTTACAGTTAATCTTGTAACTGATCTATATCATGTACTTTTGAGTCTTTGTAGTAGTTTTATTGCAGAAAATTGTTTCTCTATATTGGTATGTAGGCATTTGCTTGCCAAGTTACCTATAAGCCTCCATGACATGGACTTAATTTGGATTCTTTTCTTCTTTTCCTCCTATTATGTTGTACCTGGAAGATGATGCAGTGTCATGTGGATGCCTGTGATGACATGCAGCCACCAGAGTTGGTGAGTGTGCTCATGTTTTTATTTGACTGGTTTAATAGTTGATTTTTGAGAAAAATAATTTGAATTGGTGAAGTGATAACTGGAATTTCTTGAGATTGAATGTAGTCAGTGGCAGCTTGCACCTATTGAAAAATCCCTAAAGCTGTCCTAACTCAGGTTATTGGCAGTTTGTCCTGAACAGTGAATCCTATACAGACAGTTAATATTCCACAGTGGAAGTATGCAGCAGCGCAGCCAAGAGAGAAGCTTTTCTGTTGTATTGTCTCTTTCGTACCCTATTTTTAGTGTTCTAAGTTGTAACTTTCACTGTAACTCTTGCTTTTCAACACCCTGTAGGTGCATCTATTTAGAAATATGTTTTATGTTAACTTCATGTTGTGTTTTCTCCTGTTTCAAATAAGGAATATTAAAAATAAATCTTAATTGTGGATAAACTATTATGCATTACCTATCCATATATTTGAAAGTATTCCACTTAATTTGTTTATCAAGCTTCTTACTCTTAGGGAGTTTAGGAAGGAAAGTTCAAAGGGTGTCAGCAAGTGTTTATGCTGTCTGGAAAATGGCAAAGTGAAGCCAAATATTAAATGATAGTTTCTAGCTTACATAAACACTGCAGTTATAATTACTCATCTGCTGTCAAATTAATTTGCTGTCTTGTATTCTGGGGAGGAGAAACAGCAGAAAGAGTCAAGAAAAGGATTGTTCATGAAAACAAAGTAGCCCAAAAAAGGGATTCACTGTGCAAAATATCAGCAGAAATAGGTGGGAGGGTATGTGTGTGGAATATGCAGCTCTGATCAGCCTCTGAATGAAGTTCTAAGCAGCGTCCTTCATTCTTTTGTATTTTGCATTCCACTTTGAGTTCTATTATGTTGTATTCCTAAGCAACATGATTACACAACACAGATTGCTTAGAAACATGATCAGCTGAACAATTTTTTTTCTGATTAGCTTCCATTTTTATGTGACTCTAAAAAGCTAGCAGGTAAATATTTTTTTTCCAAAAAGTTGTTGCATTGCAATTTCTGCAAACAAGTAATTCACACAAATTCCTGTATTGATATAGAGTACCAGTCTGCAAATCCTGAAAATAAAAGCAGTCATGAGTGGTGCATTGCAGTGATTTGGATTTGGTATATGGTAGTTTTAGCAGACCAGCAGTAATTAGTGTCATGATTATTGTCCCTTCTAAAATACAAAGGATTGTATCATAGTCTGAATGGAGAGACCAGTTATAAAGTTATTACAGTTGATTTGTTTGTTCCTCAAGATATAGATGGAGTAGGAGGGTTGATGGTTACTAGGTAAACATCTTGTTCCAAACTGAGACTTAAATTTCTCCTGAGCTGTATAGGTAGTAGTAATAAGGCTGAACTCTGATCTTCTGATTTGAATGTTAGATTGGTCCAAGAGTCAGGAGTAGATCAGCATCAAGAGCTGTTTACCAGCTGAATTGAGAAGGTTGCTTGGTAAACTGATATGGCTAGATCTTGATTACTTATTCTTAGAGGTTTTAACAGCAAGCTAAGAGGTTCTCATGAGATATTCCCCTCCTCTTTGTTCCTGATCTGCCCTCTTCTCCAGTTTGCCTTTAATGATACTTAGTTAAAGGTTGTGAGTTAGGATTTTTGCATAAAATGAGCTCAAAGTTAACAATATGATACTTGAGATCAAAACATGTAAATGAATCATGGCTATTTGCTATTTAAGGGTTGCTTTTTTTTTTTCTTATAGTTTGAAGGTGGCTCTGGATATGGTAAGTTTTTATAGAGAACTTTGACATGCACCTCTCTTAGTCAGTAAGAGGCTTGATGCATACGTTTAAATCAGACTATTCTTACACAGGGGGCCGTGGTTCATATGGAGATCTTGGTGGGCCCATCATCACAACACAAGTAACAATTCCCAAAGATGTAAGTGAAGCTGACTTGCTTTCCCCCTGTGTTTAAATAAATAAATAGAAAGTCACATCCTTTTCTCAGACTATGTAAGTAGATAAGTATTTGGGATGCTTGACAAGTACTTTTAATATAAAGCAAGTTTTTCTAAATCACTGGAAGCTTATTCTTAAGGATGTTTTTGTCTTCACTTTAGGGATGCAATGAACTATTTTTTTTTAATTGCTAATATTCAGTAATAGAGATAGTCTACATCACTTGTTTTTGCAAACAAGCATCTGGTTCTTCCAACTTTATCCCACCTGTGTTTATATAATGATGCTACAGAGGATGTTTTGAGGCTGTAAAAGAGTAAGCTTCCATTGTAACTCTTTAACTAACTAAATTGATGGAAGCTACTTGAACAGTACTGTGTTTTTGCAAAGAAAGTTATATCAAGAAATGAATGCTTTATTTTAATCTTCTAGTTGGCAGGATCTATTATTGGAAAGGGAGGCCAGAGAATCAAACAAATACGTCATGAGTCAGGAGCTTCAATCAAAATTGATGAACCACTAGAAGGCTCAGAAGATCGGATAATAACTATTACGGGAACACAGGACCAGATACAAAATGCTCAGTATTTACTGCAGAACAGGCAAGTTGAAGCTCAATGCTGTCCTTTCAATTTTAAACTGACTTGCATACTACTACATTCTAAAGCTCCTCTTCTCCGCAACATAGTTTTTAGAAGGCAGGATTTAAGAAATTATTTAATTTCTCCAGTGGTAGTTCTGCCTTTGATTCTCTTCTTTTCTCTGTTCTAACTAAAATGAAGATTCCCTCAAAACTAACCTTGATGGAAGACACCTTAACCAAGCAGTCCTCTCATTTCTTTGGTGAAAATTGCTGCAAAAAAAAAAAAAGCAGCTACTTGTAATAAATTACACAGAACCTGTAGGAAATAGAGAAGATAACAGTGGATGTTGGTCTAGTTCTGTGTGGAAGACTAGTGATTTTGTTGTTTTTAGATAACTTAAATGACAACAAATCACAGTCTGCCATATGGCACAGACCATGCCTCTACAGGACAAGTTAAAATCAATTAGTGCTGTTATGCAGCATTTCACACCTTGCTGGCAATACTTTCTCTTCTGCCAAATATTAACAGTTTCAGACTTAGGATTGCTTAGTTTTGCTTTAATAACATGTTGGCTATCGTAGAATTTGTTAATGTTCAACTTGGATGTTTGGCTTTAGATTACTAATATTTAAATGTGCTTAAAATAATTATATGCCTATAATTATTAGTCATTAATCTTTTGAAGTTATTTATTTTTTTAATTGACTGAGAATTTGTAGTTTAATCTTTAAGAATGCCATTGTGAATATTGATGCAAGATGTATGGCCAATCATTCTAATACATGCTTTTTTCTTTTTCT